ACGCCAATTTCAGATGTTATTTTTTGACATCAGAGTAGTCAACTGACATCAAATTAATTAGCATTTTTGACATGTTTCTGCTTTGTTTTTTTTTGTTTTTTTAAAACCCTGAAATAAGAGAAACTCTGGGTTTTCCATTTCAAAAATGGCAGGTTTGTTAAACTCGAGAAAGCAGGGAAGGTCAAACCTGTTTCTGAAAGAGAAGTAACTTTAACTCAGTCAGTTACTGTGGTAACCTACTCTGTAAACCTAACCTGGTCAGGAGCAGGTTTTATTCTCTAAACTCTGAGTTCCTGTCGGTCTCCTCCCTCTTTTTAAAGACGTATTTCTCGCCTTAGTTCTCCACGTTTCATGGCTCCAAACGCGAGTTCAGCTGGAGAAAGAAATGGTGATCTTTTTTTTTAAAGATGTTGCCATAGTCACTTGTAATATCTGCGCTCCATTAATAATGCCTTTTTATAGTCGCGGTGTGCTCGCTTAACTCTGAGGTGGTCTACTTAAAGTTGATTGACCCAAGTCATATTCGCTATTCTGAAACACGAAAACTCAAGAGTTTTTAATCTCTCTGTAAATCAACTCAGAGTTCAAGTTGGTTGAACCTCCTTACTGAAAAAGGCCCCAGATTTATTTATTTTTTTTGCAAATGAGTGAAAGTTTGATTTTGGGACCAGATGATGAGTCTTGAAATGCAAGCATTTGGACTACAGCAAGTGAAACAGTTTATTACTAGATGAGCAATGGACTCTGGAGGGAGAAAAGAAAAAGAATTTGATTGACAACAGAGGCAATTGACATGGCATAGTATGCACAGACAAGTGCAAGGACGGTAGATGGAGCAAGTTAAAGAAGTGATAGTTCTCCCTCTCTCTCATCCCCTTTACTGCTGTCACCACAGCAACATGCCTGGAGGGGACACAAGAGAGGCGGCATCCCTGGCAAAAACAACAGAGGAGGGGAGCAGGGACTGAAAAAGGAAGAACACAGGAATGAAAGAAAGTAGGAAAGAAAGTCGGAGAGTGAAAGAGGGGTGTTAGGAATGTCAATAGGCCAACACAGAGGAAGAGAGACAGAGGATAGGCCAATTAGTCATATATCACTGGTTCATTGTAAATGCATGAAGTATGAAGTGCACATTCAATTTATGTTTGATGGTAATAATGTTCAGTGAAGTTCAAATGTATAATATATGTATAGTATGCCCACATATGAGCATCTATTAATGACCTCACTGCCTAGTCAATCAAAATCTATACCATGTGAGGCCTTCATTACCCTCCTCTAATTATTTTTTCAATGAATGCTTCTTAGTATTCCTTAGTCTATATTCACTATAAACAAAGTAACAATGTAAATATTCTAAAACATTGAGTATGTTTACATGGACATCAATAATCCGAATTTAATGTCATAATGACAATACTCTGATTAAGAGTCTACCATGTAAGCAATTTTTGATTAATCTAATCTGAAATTAAAGTCAGATTAACTAAACATAAGTCATAATCAAACTAAACAAAATCATATTTTGACATGTGGAGTATGCCGATTTTAGACGGATGATTGAATTGCAGTACGGACACATATAAACACCTTAAAATATTCCAGTCATGTAGGACTTTTTGTCACGTTTTGCGACAGGATATTTCATCGACATACAGCTGCTTGACACTATTTGCGGCACCTATCAAGTCAGTAAAGGACCACAGACACGCACACCATGAAATGCAGAGTTTTTTTTCCCATATGGCGTGCAGTATCAAATTCCATTAAAACAACACTCTTCCAGCAGTTCCTCGCATCAACAACATATGAAATGAATGAAAGGAACATTCAAAACTAACTCATGTAAATGCCTTAATCATATTATTGTCTTATTCATATTAAGGCAAATACTGTAATTCGATTACTGATGTCCATGTTAACATAGTCATTATCTGTTTTCTAATTCAATTTGCATAGGGTCTTTAGAGACACAATACAATATTTTCATAAGATGCAACATTAGTAACAGATCTGATGAGTTACATGCAGTTTCGCAATGTGGCAATGTCTGATACACAGGGACTACGTTTCATGGACATCAGTTATCTAATTATTTGCCCTAATCTGAAGACAATAATATGATTGAGGCGTTTACATGAGTTTTTTTTATTTTTTATTTTCCTTTCATGATCCCGTTTTATATGTTATAGCACATGATTCGAATAACATGATTGCGTTACTACGCTATTCACATTTCCTCCAGGGTATATCCTGTTACAAAGTGAGGTAAAATGTACATGCCGATAATAGTTTGATTAAGTTGTTTACATGTCTGTACTGCACTTTAATAATGCGATCAAAATCAGCATACTCCACGTCCTAATTGGATTTCTGTTTAGTTCGATTATGACTTTAGTTGGATTAGAGTCATCAAAAATCGGGCCCAATTGGGTAAGAGGTAGAATTGGGATTAGGCTAGATAACCCTCGAAACTAAGATTTTTCAGGACCACACTCGAAACCAAGGGGTAAGAAAATGTCCTAGAATATACCATCTACAATGGCAGTATTATTAATAGTTATTAATACACTCACAACCGCGTTCAGGTTTTACCATCATGCTTATTTAAAAAACAAAAAGCTCAAATTAAAAAAAAGCTAAATTTTGTTATAATCCGGAACAATAACTCCTGTGTAGCAATCCCACAACATTCTGACATTCAATGATACTCGAATCCCCTGTCAGGAAAGTCTAGGGGCTGGAAATTACCTTTTTACAGTGTCTGGTATAACATTAATGCTGTTTTTGTGTATTTACAAAAACAAATATGGCCAGGATGTTAATGCACAGTAAAAAACTTACAAAAACAAAATTGGGATTGGGCCTTGCTGTTTACATGGTAGAATTTTAATCAGAAAATTGTCTTAATTGTATTAAAATCGGATCATTGGTGTCCATGTAAACATACTTACTAAAATGATGTTTTACTCATATAATCCGGAACAATAACTCCTAAAGCCGTTAAAAACTAAAGCCGTGCTCTCTTTCCACTATCTAGTGAATTATGTCTGTGTCTGCCTTTTTAAGTGGCCTTCTGAATAATTTATATTCATTCATTACTTCATATCAATCTACTGTAATTTCAATTGACATTTCCCAAAATCTAATGTGAAATGGTGATTGAGTGTAAAAGAAAAAGGATAGCAGCATATGAGGTGGCAACCCATTTTACCTCACAGGTCAGCTCGAGGACACTGACTGGAAACCCCATGATAATAATGTTTAAATAATGGATGGTGTTCATACATGTGTGTAGATTATAGCTGACACTTGTTTTTTTAAATGTTAATTTTAATCAGTTTATATTTTATATAATATATTTACTGTTAGGCGACACGGTGGCCTCAGTGGTTAGCACTGTTGCCTCACAGCAAAACGGTCACTGGTTCAAGTCCCGGCTAGGCCAGGTGGCATTTCTGTCAGCGTTTGCATGTTCTCCCCATGTTTGTATGGGTTTACTATGGGTGGTCCGGTTTCCCCAACAATCCAAAGACATGCGCTATAGGTGAATTGAATAAATTAAATTGCCCTTAGAGTATGAGTGTGTGTGTGTGAATGAGTGTGTATGGGTGTTTTCCAGTACTGGGTTGCAGCTCGAAGGGCATCCGTTGCATAAAACATATGCTGTAATAGTTGCCGTTTCATTCCACTGAAAGAGAGGCTAAACTGAAGAAAAATGAATGAATGAATGTTATATAGATGAAAGCAAACAAAATAATAAGCTTAGAGTTTCAGTTTTCTTTACTATCATAAAATATCAATGTAAGCAAAAAATAGCAAGTCATAAAGCCAAACAGAATACATTACAGATGGGTTGGCATAATGTTCATGACAAAACTGCATGATACAGAGTGTTCTCTGACACCTGGCCGCAAGCTATTTACGTCAACATCTAAATGAGTGAGTGGTTTCGGACACAGTGGAATATTGGACACTTCATGTACTGAACACTCACAGCTTTAATTACATGGCAGAGGCGGTTTGTGAATGGCTGCTGTACTACTGTAGCTTGCAATCAATTGTAAGACAGGGACAGAGATTATGCAGATGGAAACTGAAGAGATTCAGAAAAAATCACCAGAGAGAAGTCTGTCATTACCAGAATACTGATGTGTTGATTAAAATTGATGGTTAATCAATCGAACAATCAATACTGGATAAACTGATCTAAGAGTTAATTAACAAGCAGAATTTTTTTAATCTTTAATCACTAACCACTTATATTCTTCTAGCATTAACTATTCCGTTAAACGCTTTCTTAACTCATACATATGATCTACTATGTTCTTGTTCTCAATGACATAATTTTGTAATACAAACACACACACATATATATATAGGCTAAGTGTGTGAGAAAGAGATCTGAAACTTCTGCCAAGTCAAATAGTTTTTTTTATTATTATTATTTAAAAATTTTGTACACTGTAAAAAATTGTATGATCGATTAGTCCTGCCAGAAAATGTTTTAGGTCATTGTAACTTATTAAACTAAGTTAATAATGTACCAACTTAATTTTCCAAGTTATGCAAGCTGCTTTAAGTCAGTTTAACATAATATAAGTTCAATAGACTCATAAAGGTAATTTGATTCAGCTTAAATATTTAAGGCAAGCAGGATTTTTTTTACAGTCTAAAAAATGCTAAAAAATGTTTTGAACCAACATAGGAACTAATTCAGCACAAACAAACTGCTTTTTCAAAGATTTCTCCCTTTTATAATTTTAGAAGTAATTATTTTCCACTGACCCACATTTCAAATCCTCACACTAAAAATGCACTGTGGAAGAAAAGCTCCAAAAGAGCACAAAATAAATCCACAATATACAAAAATAGCTCTAGCAAAACATGCTTGAACATGACAGCATTATTTACGTTGGCTAAACCATTAGAAATAAGCCTAAGCATGACTTATTAAGATGAGGATGAGGAGGCGGTGGGGGCGTGGCCATTGCTCCGGCAACCGCATCCTGTCAATCATATACTGTGGCGGGAGCAGAAAACGAGTGTCAGTGAGGACGCGTATGATTGCCTTACTTTTCCCATTACTGTTTGACAGCGTCTGCTTTCGGACAAAACCCAAAGTAAACGAATAAAGGGATCTAACAAAAGCTCACAGAAGTTCAGTGACCGCAAAATATGGCCGTGTGAGTTGACAGAACAGTGTTTTACACTTGCTGAGTCTCTTTTTTTTTCTTCGGTCGACGCCAGTCACCTAACCAAAGAGACACCTGCCGCTGATTTAGTTGGTAATTTCAACCGTTCTTCGACAGTTTACCATTCAATTTTCTTCTCTTGCAAAGGATTTTGTCTCACAAAGGAATTATTCAGTAACTTGTCTCTGTGAATTCCTACAGACCTGCTCAGGATGCCTTGGATGAGAGTCTCTCTGCCATGGAGTTGCATTCGGGAAAGCGCGAAGCTCTGTGACTGAACAAACTAGCCGTACTGCGGCACGGCTTCGCGAAATAAACGCTTTGCGACTGTCTGTCCGCTTGCTGAGTCGCAGGAATGTTGTAAAAAGCGCTAGGTTTGCGTGGGACTGGGGGACTGAGAGTCGAAGAAGGCGAAGAGACCACAGCAGGTGCACGTGAACGCAGGAATATTATAATGGCTCTCGCGGCGGTTTCTCTCTACCTCCTCGCGCTCGCCTGGACGAACTTGCGCCCGGTCCACGGGAACAACCGTCACGCCGTGTATTGGAACAGCTCAAACATCCAGTAAGTGGGCTCACAAGTTTATAAACCGCGGGTTTGGGTAGATTTAGGTCCCGTGTGACGGTTAAAAAGGGAGAAATGACAGGTGCATTTCATGAATACATGTCCGGGTCACCGAAAAAATTCAGAAACAAACTCGATTTTTCAGTTCTAAGGGTATTTGAGCACAATTGAGATGTGCATAATGTGCCACAGTTTTTATTTTCGTGTCACATTTTCACAGCGTAATCAAGTTTTTTCGTCTTACCACACTTGTAAGTATTGTTCCTAAATAATATTGATAATAATTATAATGATGTGTTTATATTGATTTTACGGTGATGCATAACCCGGACATTTTCTTGACAGGTTTCATGCGATTTACTGGAGAGTTTTGATTTAAGGGACAATTATCTGATCACGTGCTGTACATTTCGACTGGTGCGCTGAGGAAGTTGATGAAGTGGCTCCTGATTGAGACATGTTTGCTTCAGCTCCAGCCTGATTTATTTCTTTTACTATCACAGGACTTGATTGTGTGCATTGTGTGCTGACAGGTGATAATTCACATTACCTGACAGCTGAGACTACATCGCCAAATAATCTGAGGAAAATCAGTATGGTGTGCTTTTCTTCACTTTTTTTTTATCTCGCCATAGATGTTTCCCTCCCCTCCTGCCCTGATCTCTTGTCTAGAAAAGCTTCTACGCTTTCAGTTTAATTTCTTTTGTCTGTAATTACAAGAACTGTAGTGGTGATGAATGAGAAGTCCCGTGCCTTTAGTGTTATTATCTTAAGATTAATCACATTTATCTCTCCTGTGATAAAAGGGAGGGCGAGCAGCTCCTCCCTTTCCCCCCCCTCATGTCTATTTGTATTCATCTCATCCACTTATCTCCTGGCTGTATTCTGCTCTTCTCTCGTCTTCTGTATCACTTTCAGTGGTCCTTTTAAGCAGTATTTCCCTCTTTCATCTTGCTATTGATATGCATTACTGTATGTGATGGAAATATGAGAAATATTTAAACCGGGGGTCAGAGAATATGTGGCATGAATGTCAGCGAGCATTGCACTCAAAACATGGCTTTAGCATTACTGAAAAGCCTCTGGAGCAAACCATGGGCCCAACAAGCACCAGCTGCAGCAGCAATTAAGTGTGTGAATCTGTGTGTGTGTATGTGTGGGTGTTTGTGTGTATAGAAAAGATGAGAAGAGAGCCTCATTAATACCCAGGTCCTCATTATCTTAACCGCAGCATCTTCAAAGTGCACAGCAGTCACACGTTTCTCTGGTTGTCACATTCTGTTTATGCTGTTATCTATTACCTTTAATTATCCTTTGTGTTTGAACGCAAGTTTTAGTTAGATGTCCACTTATGTATGATTCTCCATATTCATAAAGCAAGAAAAAAAGTAGGTTGTATAGAATCACTTAATGAAATTGTTTTGTTAAAGTGGTTTTGTTAATTAGGTTCAGTTCAGAAGGGTTGTGGTTGGATGTCAGGTGAGAATGAAATGAGATATCTGAGACTTGGCAGGAGCCAATCTTTTTGGATTGTTACAGCGCTATTAATGAGAACTTGGTGTTTTTGTGGTTATAAAGGGTTTTAAGAGTTTACAGGACACCATTACAAGGTTAGGTTTATACAACTTTGTTGTTAGCTCAAAATGGAAAATCTTTCATTAATCTGGCCTGGTCATTTGCACAACCACTAAAAACACACATTTTTGAAAAGTGGATGCTTCCAAAGAGGTTGTTTTTGGAAGTTATACCACAATTACCTTCATGTAATTATTTTGAAGACAGTGAGATACTGTTTGTTTATAATGTGTTCAATTTATAGGCATATTTGAGGAGGAGTGGTGGGTCAAAGTAGGCACTTGAGAACATATTAAATAACATATTGTTCTAGTAAATGTCATGTTTTTCGATATTACTTGAGTCTTGATTTTTTTACTTAAGTAAAAAAATAGTAATGAGGGTTTTCTTGCAAGAAAGTTTAGTTACAGAAATAGGTTAGTCTCATAACCACACTGACAATTCTTCAATAAAGTTAAAAGATTTGAGATTAGAGTATACTTTGCCATATAATTTGTAAGTGTTTTAAGGACTGTGACTGTGGGAGAATTCAGAAGAGCTCAAAGGAACAAGAAAATGTATAATTTATAACTAAATAAAATGTAATTTAATAGAATTATTAATATGATGAAGACAATAGTGTTATTTTACAATTGCCTTTTTTAGTCCTTAGTCCTATTAAGATTATATCAGTTTGTTTTTTTTATTTTGTTCAGTCATTCCCCTCTAGAATTATCCTAAATTAAGGATTTTTTTCCAAATAAAGAAATTAAAGCAGTCTATTTAATTTGTAGTTATTTCGCTATATATAGCAGAAAAATTTAACATCCCAGTGTCAAAATTTTTTAATATCGTGCAGCCCTAATTCCCGCACTCAACCCATTCATGTCAGTTTTTTAAATATGTAAATCGTTTTTTGGAGACTCTAAAAGGATCATTTAAATCAGTGAGTTGTTGACTTGTGAGCAGATGTCAATGTAGTTCACAAATTAATTGTCTAGTGGAATTTGTAAACCAATTTAACTGATACAATTCAGCCTAATCTTGAAAAAAATCAAAACACAATTTAACTTCCGAGGAGGTGATGAATTATCCCCTTAGAAATAACCATTTAGTTAGCTTCATTCAAGAAATTTAGCGAAGTAAAAGTAAAAATTTCCTACATTAAAATACTGAGATATAGTACAGATACTTAAAACATATACTTAAGTACTGCAGTGAAGTAAACTATTTTAAAATACTTAAGTTACTGTCCAGCATTGTGCGTGAGTGTCTGACAACCAAAGTAGTAGTGGTGGTCTAGTGACTCTCAACCACATTCCTGGAGGCACACCAGACCTGCATGTTTTGGATGTCTCCTTTGTCTGTCACACCTGTTTCAGGTCTTCCAGTCTCTGCTAATGAGCTGATGATCTGAATCAGGTGTGTTTGTTTAAGGAGACATAGGATGCGTTTGAAATCGCATACTTCCATAATATATCTAGTACGCTAGAATCAGTATGCGAGCCGAGTAGTATGTCTGAATTCATAGAATTCAAAAATCAGTATGTGAGAAGTACCCAGACGACTTACTACTTCCGGCGAGATTTTACGTTATTCCATGATGCAGCACGAGATAATTCAAGAATGGAAGTAAAGCAATTGACGCGGGTAGGTCAGTTCCATTCATACTGTATAGAATGTACCTTTCTAACTGCAGAGTATTTTTCTAAATTGTAATGTAGTACCTACTGAGTTCTAGGTGGTTTTGGATGCAGCCATGGAAAATGTGCAGAGAAGGTGGTCCTCCACCAGAGAAATACTGTTTACAGTACTGTATGCAAACATTTGTGTATCTTTACATAGTGACATTGCCAACTACAGGTCTGGCATGCATAATACAACATTTGAACAGATTTTCATGGCTCTGTATGAATGAAGATAATTTTGACAATGTTGAATCTACAAAAAATGGTCTAGCACACAAAAGAGAAGCATTTAGCACACTGTTGTCTTTCAGACACACTTTAAGAGTTGTGTATGATCAGAACTCGGTTGTCAGGGCATTCTTACCTGCATGTCTCTGTTAGTACAGAGTCTATTTCTACTCCCACACTGGGAGAAGATCTGTAAAATAATGCGTAAACTGACCCAGATTGCAGGTAGCCGAGGAACTCTCTGAGGCCATACGGCATGAATACTGATCCCAGATCAGTCCTGAGAGGCTTAAAGCTTCAGGCCACACACTACTCAGAAGCGCATGCAGGCATGGTACAAACTGGAGCAACAATCTCCCAACCAACCGGTTCCCAAGAGTCCCTCAAGGGCATGAGAATGTTTATGGCCCAGTGGGTTGTCACAGTTCTAGGTGAGACCCTCTTTTTGCTCTACCTGTGCGCCTAACGCTTGGTCCAGCCGAGTTAGCTGTAGAACCGGGAGAGCGCTTCATGTTGGCCAACGCAAGCAATGCTCACTTGAGCTCCGCATCCCACTGCTCATATCGTCGAGACAGATAAAAGCGCAGACTGATAAAAGCTCTTTCATGAATGCGGCGAGAAAACCTTGCTCACGGAGTCTGTTTGAAATTCCACTGTAAAGTCAAGTGAATAGAGGATCATCAATCATGTGAGATGATGTGTCTGGGGAAAATGCCAAATCTGGAAAGTCAGAAAGACACGACTCCCGGTGTAATACGACAGATATTCGCATGGAGTGCTTCAGATGTGTATAAACAACCAAAACGAACATGTAGGGGGTGTTGATTCGGATGGCGAGGATGAGTCAGTAGCACACGGCTGGGCTTTGATTGCATCTGCACGGCCCCATTAGGAGGCAACGCTCTCAGCTTCTGCTGGCACTGGCACTGCAACCCAAGCTCATTACAGCTGTCCCGGCTAATGGAACACACTCACACACAAAGTCATTTAGTTGTGTTCTGTCCAACGCGCAAACAAAGTCCCTCGCAAACAAGCATGCATACTAATACACTTTATGCAGATCAAACTGACCTGTAAGGCGAATGAGAAAAGCATTCATGCACGGAAATGTCAGGAAAAATCCAACCTTTTTAGACACACACACATTAAATCATTGCTGCTCTCAGGTTCTCTGCTAATTAGTGAAGTTTGATGTGGAACATGTGTAGCTGAGCAAGGTGGCCGTGGGGTACATTTCCTGTGGCGACGTGGCCTCTTGCACCCTGCACCAGGTTGGTGTCATGGCCCAGAATCAGAGCAGGGCCCTTTAATTGGTCAGCCTCTGTCAACATGATGATAACAAACGAGAGACCTGCTCTCAGAGCTCTAGGCTAGACAGGCTTATGTAAGGGGAGATTTACCTTAGACGAAAGACCCAATGAAATGTAATGTGTGCTGTGATAGAACGAACATACAGGCTGCTACACAATGTGACCTTTAAAAAGCAGGGTCAAATGAATTCGAAACTTGTTGTAGTGAACTTATTCTCGC